GTGCGGACCGTAGCCGCGCGCCACGCGGACAGCGACGCCATCGCCCTCTCATACACAGGCCGTGGTCTATCCACCTTATGCTCCCACACCGCCGAATTCCGTTGTAACCAAATATTGTACATAATGGCCACCATAGAAGTAAATTGACTTTCATCAATATTTTGTAGTAATAATTCCAGCCACACACCAAAGTCATCATCCACCGAACTCTGCACAATAAAGCCCGAAATATTCCACACACATTTAGAATAGTCACATTGAACCAAAGAGTGTAAAATATTTTCAAGACAAAGAGCACACAAAGGGCATGCTAATGGGACATCTACCCTCCTATTATATAAATTCATGGTTGTGGGTAGCACTCCTCTCACCGCTCTCCACAAAAAAACTTTCCACTTAGGGGTTGCCTTGAGGTTCCAAATTTTATTCCAATATGAGAAACCATTTGGGGGTACAATAACGGTTCCCATTAAATTACGGTAAGCGGCTTTTACTGTATAAACTCCTTTTGGGTCCCCATGCCAATACCACATATCATCATAGGCAGGACTAATTGGAATTGCAGAAATACGCTCCACATCCTCAGCAGAAAAAAGCTCATTGAGCAAAGGAATATCCCAGGTAGAGGATGCCGGGTCTATTAATCCAGAAACCTTCACCTCCCCTAAATGAGGGGGTTTTTCTGCCATAATTCTTGGTTCTGAGTCACTAAGCAACCACGGATCACCCCAAACCAAAGTGGAGTCACCATTTCCAATTCTCTGCCTAATATTTCGAATAATAAGTCCCTGGGCCGCCATTATACTCCTCCACGAGAAACTTGGGTTATTTCCAACTGAGGCATTCAAGAAATCTGTATTTGGGTAATACCTGGCCTTATATACCCTTGCCACCAAAGATTGGGGATCTGTCAGAAACCTCCAGCCCTGCTTGCCTAGCATAGCTACATTGAAGGCTCTCAAGTCCTTGAAGCCTAGTCCAACATATTTCTTTGGTATACTCATTTTATCCCAGGCAAGCCAATGTATTCCTCCCCCGTCTTTCCCATTACGCCACCAGAATTTATTCATCACTCGCTCCAGATTCTTGCACAGCGAGTCAGGTAACAAAAACACACTCATAGTAAACGTAGGCATTGCCTGCGCAACCGATTTCAGTAATATTTCTTTACCTGCTCGGGACAAAAGTTTCTTATTCCAGGAGCCAATTCTCTGTCTCACCTTGTCCTCCACATAAGCAAACACCGCACGCTTATTCCTCCCCACAAAAGCCGGTAGGCTCAAATATTTTCCAAAGTTTATTGCTTGGTGAACCCCAAATTCCGCCGTCACCAAATCTCTTTCTGCTTGCTGAGTGTTCCTACTAAAACAAAATTTGATTTGTGATAGTTAATGGTCTGGCCAGATAGCTCCTCATAAGATGTAAGACACCGTTTAACTGCCTGTGCCTCACCCACATTTGCCTTAAAAAATAGGAGGCTGTCGTCCGCAAAAAAGAGATGTGAGAGAGCAGGAGCCCCTCTCGCCACCCTTAACCCATGCACATCGCCTCTATCCTGAGCCTGCTGCAATAACAATGATAACCCCTCTGCACAGATAATAAACAAATATGGGGATAAAGGATCCCCTGGCGGAGCCCACGAGATGGGGTTATCTTACCTCCAGACACACCATTAATCATAACATTATATGAAACTGTAGTGACACATTCCATAATTAGATTTACCCACCCCGCCTGGAAGCCTAAGGCCAACATCATTTTCCTCAAAAAACGATCACTCCATCTTATCATAGGCCTTTGCCATATCCAACTTCAAAGCCCCCCATCCCACCTTACCCAACTGCTTCCTGTTAAGAAAATGTCCTATCTCAGCAGCAACCAAGATATTATCAGTAATCAACCTGCTAAGAATAAACGCACTCTGCGAAACAGAAATAACATCCCCCAACAGAGGCTTCATACGATTAGCAATAACTTTTGCAACAATCTTATAAACAACATTACTCAGGGCAATCGGGCGGAGATCTGTTACCACCTCAGGGGACTACGTTTTTGGAATAAGCACAATATTTGACTCATTAAGACCAGCAGGCAAAGTCCCCGTATTTAAACATTCAAGCACACAGCTAGTCACATTTGTGCCAACAATGTCCCAAAACTTCTGATAAAAGCCCGGTTTCATTCCATCCGGTCTCGGAGCTTTTTCTGGAAACATAGCAAACAAAGCATCTCTCACCTCCCCCGGATCATACGGCCGATTCAACCAATCATTATGGGACTGGGTAACACGAACAGGGATAGAGGCAAAAAAAATCCGCCCCATTACTCACAACCGGACTAGCAGTAAAAATGTCATTGAAATAATTCATTACAACTGGTTTCATAGCATCACCATCTACCCATCCACCCGACTCATCTTTAAGGCGTAAAATAGTATTCTTACGTTTTCGGGCAGAAGCATACCTATGATAGAAGCGAGTATTTGTATCCGCCCCACGAAGCTAATGTTGCTTTGCTCGTTGCCTCCAAAATACATCCTCCTGCTTCTCCAATCTTACTAACTCAGTTTCCAGACGGCGAAAGTCGGCTAACGCCTGGGGGCTCGAACGACCACGACAATTCAACTGTTGTTTCTTGAGACTAGCAATCCGTTCCCCAAACTTATGGAAACGGTCACCACCCCACTTCTGAAGCTTTAAACCACATCTCTCTAACCGGGCCTGTAAATCCTCCACCCCATGACCCCACGCCTCCTCCACCACCTCCCTACAACCCTCATCCAGCAACCAGGCCATCTTAAAGCGAAAATGACGCGGCCCCACCCGGGATCCCCCACCTGGCCGTATATCAAGGAAGATAGCCGAATGGTCCGATCTCCTCGTCAGTATATTAAAGACCCGTGCTCCTTCCACCACCTCACGCCACTCATCACTCGCCACAACTCTGTCCAGCTTCTCCTCCACCCAATTCTCCGTGCCTTCTCCCTTCTCCCAGGTAAATTGATACCCAATCATCGGGATCTGTGCCAAACCACAGTCCTCCAGTGTTTCCCCAAAACCCCTCAACAACGACTCAGGGTGCCTACAACGTCCCCTCTTCTCATACTGAAAAAGCAAGTCATTGAAATCCCCCAAGACCACCCAAGGTAACATAGAGCGAGACCTTAAATTTCTTAAAAGATTCCATGACTCCTCTCTACTACCACGATCCGAGAAACCATAAAAACCCGTCATCCTCCAGGGCTCGAAACCATCAATCCGTACCACTACATCCACAGGGTTTCTTGAGTAACTTAACAGACTCACTGTATCATTCGTTTTCCACAATAGGGCCAAACCTCCACTACGCCTCACATTATCCATATAAAACAACCCCTGGAACCCCAATTTCACACGTAACCGCTCAGCATGATCTCTAGCAACTTTTGTTTCCATTAAAAAAATAAAGTCGGGTTTCTTTCTGGACGCCATGTCCAACACTTCCCGAACTGTTCGTGGATCACCCAAGCCACGACAGTTTCAGCTCAATGTACTCATAATGATGGGCGGGTCTGGGAACCAGAACCTGCCATGAACAAGTTTTTTGAAATATCTGTCATTGCAACATCCACACCAACCCTCCCCCCATCTCCCTCACCAACCCGTTCCTCCTCCCTACGCCTTTTTGGACCACACACCACCCCCTCCCCAACCGCCGGCTGCCCTACCGGTAAGCCCCCCATCGTAACCTCCTTGTAAGGATGTATTCAATTTAGAATTTCAATGACTTTTGTAGACTTTTTAAAATAAAAAGTTGATAAAAGTCTATGAATGTTTTTTATATAGACTTTTATAGAGTCTTATAAAGTTTTAAAAAGTTTTAAATGACTCTATGAAAGTCAATCAAAGTTTATTAAAATCTATTATTTTAAAAGTCTTTAAAACTCTACAAAAGTCATGATTGAATACACCCCCCTTAAGATTTCAAAATTCTCGTTCTACCAACTCTAAATGTTTTCACTCTCTATTTAAACTTTATTTTTTCTCCTTATTTAAACTTTATACATAAATTCAACAAATTTTTTTTCTTCATTATCCTATATTTTCTTCATTCCTAAACTCTACTAATTTTTTCTCTCTACTAAACTTTACCATCTTCCTCTAAAAATTTAAAATAATATTATTGTTACTTCATTATTGCTTGTTTATTTTGATTTTTTATTTTTTTTTACAAACTTTTTATCCCTAACTTCTAAACTTTCTCTACGAACTTTTCTCCGTAACTTCTAAACTTTCTCTAATTCTCCCTAAATACATGAACAAAGTAAAATTTTCATCAATCACCGTCAAATTTTACTATATGTTTCATAATATTTATATAAATACTTATATATTTTGATTTTTATTCTTTTTATATTTATATTCGTAATATATATATATATATATATATATATATATATATATATATATATATATACTTGATATATTGTTAGCCATCAAGAAACGAGCTATCATTTGAAATAGCAATTTGGAACTGCGAACAACAATAAGGTGCTATTGTTTGTAACCCAAAATATATTGTTAGCCATCAAGAAACGAGTTATTATTTGAAATAGCAATTTGGGACTGCGAACGATAATAAGGTGTTATTGTTTGCAACCCAAATTTGCTATTGCGGATATATATATATATATATATATATATATATATATATATATATATATATATTACAACTAGTAATTATATTTTTAAATATTTTATTTGAACAATTCTGTTACTATAAATTTTAGTATTCAATATTGTTATGAATTTCTTATGAATTAGTTTTTTTTTTTGTTGATGTTTATTAATAATATGTAAGTAAGTAGCATATAAGTGTCTCTCTCTAGGGTTTTTCTAGAGCTTTCTTTTTTCCTTCTAGGGTTTTAACCTAGTTCAGTTCGGCGAGTAGTAGCATTCGACAGCAGTATACGTCCGACGAGTAGATCACCATATCGGAGGGGATTACCAGGCAGTAGCACGATGGATCAATGTTTGAATGTGGATGTTGATGAGGAACTGGTTGAGGGATATGCGGGAATCACTTTGCTAGACGAGGACGACGTCTTGGTTCTGGTCACCGACACAGCTGCGACATGTGGGGTGGGGGAGCCGAGATCCTGGGTTCTCGTTGGCCGATTCTTGACACGCCGGATGGTGAATATTGAGTTCATGCAGCAGGTTATGGCGGAGGTATGGCAGCCTGTGAGCGGGGTGCAGGTATCGGAACTGCAGCCCAATCTTTTTATGTTTGTGTTTTATCATCAGACGGACATGCAAAGGGTAATTGACGAAGGGCCATGGTCGTTTGATAACCATACGTTGGTTTGTCGGCCGGTGATGGAGGGTGTGCTGCTGGTGGATGTGGTGCTTGATAGTGTAGACATGTGGGTTCAGGTTCATGGCCTACCGATGGGTTATACGTCTGTGGTGATTCAGGAGCAGGTTGGAAATTTCTTGGGCAGGTTTGTGAAGGCGGATGAGCGTTTTGACGATCGGCCGTGGAAGGCGTTTTATCGGATACGGGTTAGTATTCTGGTAGCCAAACTGTTGTGTCGATGTATGAAGTTTGCAAAGCGGGATAACACATGGTGTTGGGTGAGTTTCAAGTATGAGAGGCTCCATACTTTCTATTTTTTCTGTGGCTTGTTGGGCCATTCATACAAGTTTTGCCTGCAAGCAAGGAACTCGATGCTTACGGTGGACCAGTACCCATATAGTGCAGAGATGAAGGCGGGAATGCTGCGTGGGCCGAGGCCAGTTGGTCATTCTTGGCTTGTACCGGTTGGGGAGAAGAGGGAGGAGGGTGAGGCTAGTGTGGGGGGTAGGAACAATTCGGGTGTGGTACCCGTTGGACTGCCGGTGGTGGAGGAAGGGTTGACTGTGAGGCCTAAGCGGAGGAGGGAAGATGGGCGGGATGGTGAGGGTGTTGGGGTGAGTAGGGGTGTGGATGTGACAATGTCAGATGTCTTAAAAAACTTGTTGTTAGCGGGTTCTGGTTCTCAGACCCGCCCGTCATTATGAGTACGATAAGCTGGAACTGTCATGGCTTGGGTGATCCACGGACAGTTCGGGAAGTGCAGGATCTGGCATCCAAGAAGAAACCCGATTTTATTTTTTTAATGGAAACGAAGGTTGGTAGGGAGCATGCGGAGCGGTTACGGGTGAGTCTGGGTTTTGATGGCTTGTTCTATGTGGACAGGAGGGGGATGAGTGGAGGTTTGGCTCTGCTCTGGAAGACGAATAACACTGTAAGTATTTTAAGTTATTCCAGGAATCATGTGGATGTTGTGGTACAGATAGATGGGTTGGCACCCTAGAGGATGACTGGTTTTTATGGTTTCCCGAATCGAGGGGATAGGGAGGCGTCGTGGAATATGTTAAGGGACTTAAGGCCTCGTTCTACGTTGCCTTGGGTGGTCTTGGGGGATTTTAATGACTTGCTTTTCTAGTATGAGAAGCGGGGCCGCCACAGACACCCGGAACCTTTGTTAAGGGGTTTTGGGGAAGCTTTGGAGGATTGTGGCTTGATAGGGATTCCAATGATTGGCTATCAGTTTACTTGGGAGAAGGGGAAAGGAATGGACACCTGGGTTGAGGAGAAGCTGGACAGGGTAGTGGCGACTGAGGATTGGCGGGCTATGGTAGAGGGGGCAAGGGTCTATAATAATTTGATGAGGAGTTCGGACCATTCGGCCTTGTTTCTGGATGTACGGCCGGGTGTAGGGGGCGGGTTGGCTATCACGGCTTTCGCTTTGAGATGGCCTGGTTGTTGGATGGGGGATGTAGAGAGGTGGTGGAAGATGCGTGGGGTAGAGGATTTGCAGGCCCGTTTGTAGAGGTGTGGTGAGAAGCTCCAACGATGGGGAGGTGATCGTTCCCATAAGTTTGGGGAACGGATCGCTGGCTTGAAGAAGCAACAGATGAATTGTCGAGGGCGTATGAACCCACAGGCTATAGCTGAGTTTAGCCGTCTTGAAACTGAGTTGGTAAGGTTGGAGAAGTAGGAGGATGTTTTTTGGAAGCAGAGAGCCAAGCAACACTGGCTTCGGGGGGCGGATGCTAATACACGTTTCTTTCACAGGTATGCTTCTGCCCGTAAACGTAAAAATACTATTTTGCGCTTGAAAGATGACTCGGGTAAGTGGGTAGATGGTGATGCTATGAAACCTGTTGTGATGACTTATTTTGATGAAATTTTTACTGCTAATTCGGCTGTGAGTGATGGGGCGGATTTCTTTACCTCCGTTCCCACCCGAGTTACCCAGTCTCAGAACGAGTTGTGATGACTTTGTCTTAGAATGTTTAAACTCGAGATCTTTGCCACCTGGTCTTAATGAGTCGAATGTAGTGTTAATCCCTAAGAAACAATCCCCTGAAGTGTTAACTGATTTGCGTCCGATAGCTTTGAGTAATGTTGTGTATAAGATAATTGCCAAGGTTATTGCAAATCGAATGAAGCCGTTGTTGGGCGATATTATATCAATGTCGCAGAGTGCTTTTATCCCTGGCAGGTTAATAACGGATAATATATTAGTGGCTGCTAAGGTGGGACACTTTTTGAATAGAAAGCAGTTGGGTAGGGTTGGATGGGGGGCCCTGAAGTTGGATATGGCAAAGGCTTATGACAGAATGGAATGATCTTTCCTGAGAAAAATGTTAATTGCCTTGGGGTTCCAGGATAGGTGGGTCAATTTGATTATGGAGTGTGTTACAACGGTTTCGTATAATATTATGATAAATGGTGTGGCTGGGGGCCAGATAATCCCATCATGTGGACTTCGTCAGGGAGATCCTTTGTCTCCATATTTATTTATTATCTGTGCAGAGGGGTTGTCATTGTTATTACAGCAAGCCCAGGATAGGGGTAATATTCATGGTTTGAGGGTGGCAAGGGGGGCACCAGCGCTCTCACACCTTTTTTTCGCAGATGATAGCCTCTTGTTTTTCAAAGCTAATGTACAAGAAGCTGGGGCGGTGAAGAGGTGTCTTACATTGTATGAGGAGCTTTCTGGCCAGACCATGAACTATAATAAGTCCAATATTTGCTTTAGTAAAAACACACAGCTTGTAGAAAGGGAGTTGTGGCTGCGGTGTTTGGGGTGCAGCAAGCAGTGAATTTTAGAAAGTATCTAGGCCTGCCGGCCTTTGTAGGGAGGAATAAGGGTGCAGTATTTGCATATGTGGAGGATAAGGTCAGGCAGAGGATTGGGGGATGGAATAAGAAGTTGTTGTCACGTGCTGGGAAGGAAATTATGTTGAAATCTGTGGCACAGGCCATGCCTACGTTTACTATGAGTGTTTTCCTACTTCCTGACTCGTTATGTACGCGTCTGGAACGTGTTATGAATAGGTTCGGGTGGCGAAATGGCAAGGATGGAGGTGGGATTCATTCGCTGGCTTGGGACAAGTTATGTAAACCGAAGAAATTTGGAGGGTTGGGGTTTAAGAATTTAAGGGCTTTCAATGTAGCAATGTTGGGTAAGCAGGGGTGGAGGTTTCTCACTAACCCCCAGTCTTTGGTTGCCAGAATATATAAAGCCAGGTATTACCCAAGGACTGATTTTATGCATGCTACAGTTGGGAATAATCCGAGTTTTTGCTGGAGAAGTATTATGGCTGCTCAGGGCCTGATCAATCGTAATATTAGGCGTAGAATTGGAAATGGTGAGTTTACCTTAGTCTGGGGGGATCCGTGGTTGCCAGGGGATTCTACTCCAAGAATTTTATCGGATAAGCCACACCAATTGGGAGAGGTCAGAGTATCTGGGTTAATAGACCCAACATCCTCAACATGGGATGTCCCTCTGTTGAATGAATTATTTATGCCTAGTGAAGTTGAGCGTATTTGTGGAATACATATTAGCCCAGTCTATGATGATTTGTGGTATTGGCATGGGGATCCTAAAGGGAGTTATACAGTAAAGGGTGCTTACCGTGATTTAATGGGAACCATAACTATACCCCCGAATGATTTCTCATCCTGGAATAAAATTTGGAACCTGAAGGCACCCCCGAAGTGGGAAACTTTTTTGTGGAGAGCGGTGAGAGGAGTGTTTCAATTCCCACCACCACTAACTTATATAATAGGAGGGTAGATGTACCTTTGGCATGCCCTTTGTGTGGTTTACACCCTGAAAATATTATGCATACTTTGGTTCAATGTGATTATTCTAAATGTTTGTGGAATATTTCGGGTTTAATGGTGCAGTGTACGGTGGATGATGGTTTTGGTGTATGGCTTGAGTCAATACTACGGATTGTGGATGAGAAACATTTTATTGCTATGGTGGTTATCATGTACCACCTTTGGTTGCAACGCAACATGGCAGTGTGGGAGAAGAAGATAGGACTGCCTCGCTGAGTGCATGCAGCTGCCGTGGCAACGCTTGAGGCATGGAATAAGCTGGCGACATCACTGCCTCGGCATCGAGAGGGGACCACGCCTGCAGTCCCAGCTGGGCAGCCCACGGGAACGCTGCAATGCTCGGTTGATGCAGCTTTGCCCTCACCCGATGGGAGTGGAGCATACGGCCTGCTTCTTGAGCAGGCAGGTGGCGGCTTTGTTGCGGCAAAGAATGGGCCTTTACCACCATGTCATGGATCATTTATGGCGGAGGCATATGCTTGTAAGGAAGTTCTATCTTGGATACGAGAATGGGGGATCACGGAGGTGGTGTTACGGACGGATTGCTTGAATCTATGTCATGCCCTTTCTGCTTCAGCGGTGGAGATCCGCTCGTATGATGGTGTAGCTATTTCAGCATGTCGAAATTTGATGAGTCTTTTACATTCTTGTTCTGTTATTTTTATTCCTCGTACGCCGAACTTTATAGCTCATTCTTTAGCTCAGGCAGCCTTATCTCAGGCAAACATTATGGTGTGGGAGGATGAACCTCCTGTGTTTGTTTCGGCTTTGTTTGATTAATAATAACAGCAGTTACCTTTCAAAAAAAAAAGTATAGCATATAAGTGTCACCATACTATGGATAAAAATAATAATGTTGAGATTGTTGATGTCGGTGAAGAACTATATAATAAGAAGAATTTTATGATATATTATAACATGTTTTGTAAGAAAATTATAAATGATAATAATCAAAATCATTGAAAGTTTGTAAGGATGCATTCAATTTAGCATTTTAATCACTTTTGTAGATTTGTTAAAATAAAAAAGTTGATAAAAGTTTATGAATGTTTTTTTATATAGACTTTTATAAACTCTTACAAAGTTTTAAAACGTTTTGAACGACTCTATAAAAGTCAATTGAAAATTATTAAAATCTATCATTTTAAAAGACTTTAAAAGTTTACAAAAATCATGTTTGAATATACTCCTTTAGTTTTTTTTTTTTTTTTTTCAAATAAATAAATTAAATTTATAAATTGGAAGGCATTAAAATGTGATAGATGTAGATCGTCCTTCACGTCAAGCATGTCGGTGATAAATGACATGCAACTGAAGATACGGAATCATTTTCCAATGCCATGTGATTCAATAATTTGAAGATGCGAACCAAAATAAAAGTTTATAATAAACCCAAATAATAATAATAATAATAATAATAATAATAATAATAATAATAATAATAATAATAAAAAGATTGGAAAGCAAGGGCACACCGACATATTGAAAAAAAAAATGCATCATGGATTCATGGTGCCTGGCAATTTTTCTTATTTTTTATTTTTATTAAATTAATATAATGTGAATGGGACAACTTCAACCGAATTGATTGGTTAATTAGTTTCAAATTTAACTTTGTATTGGAGCTTATGTATTTACAACATAATATTATTCCATGGACCATGATCCACATATTTGTGTGAACCATAAATAAAAAGTATATTTTTAATATATTAAAAGTGCATTATTTGTATACATGAAATACATTATTCGAAAGTACATAATTTTTTATATATTATTAAATAATGTACTTTAAAAATGTATATTGCATTCATGGTTCGCACAATAATTTGCCAATATTAATTGATGGTGTGTTGGTTATGCCCACTACAATAAG